TGTTACTCCGAATTAGGGTTTCTTGCTGGAAATTAAATTTGTATCTTGTTTGTTATGCAGGTTTATCCTGAAGGAACGCATTTTGTAATTCCATGGTTTGAGAGGCCGGTAATCTATGATGTCCGTGCGCGTCCTCATCTAATCGAGAGTACGTCTGGGAGTCGTGATCTCCAGATGGTAAATAATTAATCAAGTTTTACTTATACTTGCATGTTGTAATGTGGATATGGTTTTGATATTAAATTCTTAGAACCACTCCTGATATTGAAATTTCATATCATTGATTCTTTATATTTATTGTTTAATTCATCTTGATTGACAGAATAAGTTTCTTAGGAGGAATTCGGCATTCTTTTAGCATTTGCTTTTCCTCTTTTTCCCTTCCTTTCTTTATGTATGCATTATTCATACCAGATCAATTGCCAGTTAATGAAGTAATGTTCTCAATTCTCAATTCTCTATCTGTTCCATTATGTTTGAGTGTTTGACCAGTAACACAGGTCCCATTAATGTGAAACAGAAATAGAACTGCATCCAGTTTGTAAAAAGTGCACTCGCAATTTCATATGAATTTGTTTTAGGAAGAGCTTATAGAAATAGATTTTGTGTAGTTTTTATTGAGTTTACTTTCATTACCTCTCACGTTGTAGAAATAGTTTTTACGTAAACTCTTAAATGACAACTGTTTATTGAATAAACATTTAATAGAGCTTCTATATCTCAGCATCCCTTTAGATTTAGGAATGTTTATAGTTGTTTAGCTCACTCCCATTTGCAAAAGCTTTGTTAAAGTTTTCGGTCAACTGCCAGGGGACTATTTTGTTTTTGCATAAAATGGCCATTTTGGATATACCGAATTCAAATGGTAAGATCTTACTGGTTAATGATATAATTGAATCCTGTGGTATTTTGATTTTTCTCATCGATTGTAGAAATTCCTGTGCTCTAGGCATCGGAACATAAATGCCTCATCAAAATCTCATATTCTGAACTACTGGTTTGCTTTTCATGTTTAGCCTCTGTATGGCATCGACACTTTCTCACATAATATCTGCTAAATGTACTTTCTCCCACTTTCCCATGGTTGTTTGATGCCTTATTTATACCTCTTATAATTTATTTGGATGACAATGTTAGAAGTTTTAATTAATACTTTATAGATTGAAAAGATGTTTGGTTTCATAAAACCAATTTCCAGGACTTCATGTTTATAGACTAGTACACCCTAGATGTTTTGTAAATTTAAACATGTGAAATATTGATATTTACTTTAAATTGCATATTCACTTTACAGGTGAAAATTGGGCTTCGAGTTCTTACCCGTCCTTTGCCAAACCAGTTGCCTACAGTTTATCGGACTCTTGGCGAGAATTATAATGAAAGGGTTTTACCTTCAATCATACATGAAACTTTGAAAGCTGTGGTTGCCCAGTACAATGCCAGCCAGCTTATTACTCAGCGAGAGGTAAGGAGAAAAACTTTTTGACTTGAATCATGAAACCTCAGAAGTTATTATATGAACAAAGTTGCTAATTGCTGAGCTGTCTATTTTCTTTTGCAAGTCATGTTAAATTATTTTTGTTTCTATATTTATCAGAAGCCCAACAGATAGATACATACACATGACTTGTGCTTTAAGATATTATCGATAAATTCATCTGTCATTATCCACTTACACATGACTTGTGCTTTAAGATATTATCGATAAATTCATCTGTCATTATCCACTTACACAATACAGTTAGTTTTATAAAATTAAAATCAAATCCTAATAATTGTTTATTGTTTTAATCTCATGTGAACTGGGGAAGTACTATTGTTTCGTTTGTTTTATTTACATCACCGTAAATTTTAATTATCAACAAAGAAGTATCTGTTTTAACTGACTTATTCTTTGCAGGCTGTTAGTCGTGAAATACGAAAGATCCTGACTGAGAGGGCAGCCAACTTTAATATTGCTCTTGATGATGTGTCACTTACTAGTCTGACCTTTGGCAAGGAGTTTACTGCTGCAATTGAAGCCAAGCAGGTGGCTGCACAAGAAGCCGAGAGGGCCAAATTTGTTGTGGAAAAAGCTGAGCAAGACAAGAGAAGTGCTATCATCAGAGCACAGGTAAGAAGAAACTATTAATACATATACAGATGCTGCTGTGGTGCTTGAAGTTTTTGCTATTTTATATTTTCAATGCATATTACAATTGGAAAGTGTTGCTTATTATTATATCTAGCCCCAAAGTTCATACTGTCTTATTTGTTCTCTTGATCATGATGTTGGATTCGTCTTTGGTAATGACTAACAAGTGTCTTTGTTCATAAATCTGTTTGTCTAGTTTAATGTGTGTTTTTAAATTAAATAATATATTGACAATTTCCTGTTTTAAATCTCTCGGACCATTATTGATCTTCATTGCATGTGAGACCTATTTTGTTTCCTAAATATTTAGTTCCCTCTGACCTTTCTTACAACTCAACAGGGTGAGGCTAAAAGTGCCGAACTGATCGGAAAAGCCATTGCCAACAATCCAGCTTTCATCGCACTGAGGAAGATTGAAGCTGCAAGAGAGATTGCACACATTATAACAAATGCAGCAAACAAGGTTTACTTGAATTCAGATGATCTTTTGCTGAATCTTCAGGAGATGAATTTGGAGACTGGCACAAACTGAGCTGGTTAATTGGCATTCTGATTTAATTTTGCTTCGTGAAATAATCTAGATTGTTGAATTTTAGATTTTGTGAAGTTAATTCAACTACCAAGAATGTTTAGTTCATCTTTCATTAGGACATGTATTGTCTGCATTATGTGGCCTATTCTTGGCTGGGCTTTTACCCTATGAGTTTTAAGTAGCATGATTATAATGTGCAAGCAAACTGCAAAGGGTATGTCATGTCCCGACATCTATGAAGTTGTACTTAGGGAGTGTTTGGCTGTTTCTAGAATTGAATTGGAAATAAGGAAAAGCTAGCTTCTACGAGATTTACTTTCAAATTTAAGTTACGCATTTCCTGTTCGCCGTCAGTTTTGGCACTGGCCCACGCAATTGACCATCCATAAAGGTTTAAAGGTAGTTTTTTTTAATGATATATTTAGTAAAAGAATGAATTTTGTAACAATAAAAAATTAAAATGATATTACATTTCATTAAAAATAGTTAAGTTTCACTTTTGAACAACTTTTATGGATGTCTTTGCTTCTTTCTCTCTATCTCTCGCTTGTTTTCTTTTCTCCTAACAAAATATATTATTATAATTACTCATTTGTCTTTTAGATACACTAAAATACATCAAAATACCAAAGGCACCCTCAATCAAGGTTATCATCCAACGTCTGGTTATGGCATCATAGTTGTTCATGACAACACACATCTCTGTCATGGGATCAACATTATTGCTATCGCTGGTGTCTTCGGTCATAGGCATGATTGTGTAAAAGTGAGTGGGTGCAGGAGTGAAGGGCAACAACGGGAAGAATGATTGTGACGAAAGAAAACAAGAGAATTTGTAATCTAGTTCAGTGCAACATGACCTACGTCTCGGGGCTTCCAATTCAAGAAAGAAAATTCACTCTCAATAGAATTAGTACAACGTGTATTAGATGAACAACTCATATTCAATTCCCCTTTTTTAATTCTACTCGTGTATTTATATTTAGGACTCTTCTTAAACATGAGATTCTTCTCACTTTTTCTTAATCACTTAACCTAATGATCAATACAATAAATAGAATATTGATTGTTTGAATTACAATTCAACTATCAAATCAAACTCTATACCTTTAGACATGAATGTAGACGTTAGAATGGTACACACAAAAAAGATTCAAAATAGAAACCCTAACACAAAGAACTTCAATACTTGCACGCCCTTAAAATGTTAGGTTTGCGTCTCTTTAAATTTCGGCACTTTCTTCCAATGGATATAAGATTTGATCACGTCAAGATTTGTAGAGGATTTTGTTTTGATTTGTTTTTCAAAAACCTCCAACAAAAAGATTTGATTTATTTTGATTTAAATCTACATCCCCAATTAATTAGATTTGATCTTATTCAATCTGCAACAAATTTAAATAACACGTTGTTAAAAGATAATAACAAATCTAATTAAAACACAACCAGAAATTTTGCTCAGAAAAACAACAATCATGGTTTGCTGACAAACGCCAGATGTTGCGCAAATGTTAGAACATCGTGTCACATGTGTCCTTTTCTTCACTAAAACGTCTTGTACATTCCATGTTGTTTTGCATAACACATCCAATAAAAAGGAACAACAATCTCCCCCTTTGACAAATTTTGAAAAACTAACTCTTTGAAAACTTACAAGATGTGCATGGGTAAATCGTAAAAAATAACACAAACTGAGCATCATAAGCATATCACAAACAGAACAATCAGAGCAAACAATAATAACAAAAGTAGCACATATGTAAGGTGGTTGCTACACACTCAAAACAGAATCACAATGCACCCATATGCATGCACATGATCAATCATGCATGCATACAATCAAAGTCAATAGTCAGTCAGGTTAGTCATGCTCAAAAACATACAAGCTTATAGTTGAATATCAGATGTTGAATATCAGATGTCAGGCAAGATCCTCTAACAAGTGAGCATAAAGCAGTACTCCACATACACTTAAGAATAACATTCATTGTAGCACATGCACACCATTACTCCTCCTTTTTGCCACAATTTGACAAAGATATGGAAGAAAAAAATATATAAACAAGATAACACACCAAAAGGCATGAAAACAAAGCTGGAAGGCCATAAAGTAGAATCATTAACATGAATGAGTACCAAGTTGGAGTAGCTAGAACCATGGTTAAAGTGCAGAAGTCATAGTTATTACAGAACCATAAAAACAAGCCTAAAAACCAAGGGGTAAAAAACTGAAACACTCCTCAATCTGATTGGAACCAAAGCATCGAGCTTCAAAATAACTCCAGCTTGTTGATTTTAGTTTTTAGAGCTTGATTCTTCATCTTCACATGAGGCTTATGAGCTGCAAATTTCTTCATCACTAGCATATTGTTCTTCCTCTTCACTATTAGCTTTTTCTTCATCCTTAATATCCTTCTCCTTGGTCAGCATTTTGATCAATTCATCCACATTTCTCTTCCTGATGATACTTGCAGCAATTATCTCTTGCAGAATCTTTGATACTTCCATTAGCTCAAGCAACGCATCTTTTCTGGTTGCTTTGAATACAAGAGAAGAATTTCCACCAGTAGTTTCACCTTGGTATTTTGTCACTAAAATGTCTAGGACATGCGTTTCCACAAATAGCTTTTTATTAAAGGTCAGAGGCTCGTCCTTTTTGTTTGGAGTTTCTTGAGGATGCAAAACTTCAGGGTGTTGATTCAAGATAATTCCAGTGATTAAGCAAGGAAATGTTATAGGTAGCTTCACAGTAAAGGAACCAACATGCTTCATAGTTTGCTCAAATACATACTCCTCAAATTTCAGCTTTGCTTTGGTTCCTATTAAGAAGATCAGTTTAGCCAAAGTTGTGATTATACTAGAGCTGTAATTTATAGGTGTCTAATCAAATGTCTCAATCCTATTCAAAATAGAAAACTTCACACTCAATTTTTCACAAGAGATTAACCATTTATTGGGCCATTGCTTCACTTTCCCAACATGTTATTTCCTTGGTGATCTTGTCAATATAGAGAACTTTTTCAGACTCTGGTGACTTGCTTCTTTCCAAATACCCATTAATAATGGAAGGTGTAAACTTCACACACTTCTCTCTAACATAAACCTTCCTATACTCTTGAATTCCTTCAACATTGCGATCATGTGACATGTTCATAATAAACTCTTTGACCAGGTTTTCATAGCAATGACCAACATATGTTACAGTCTTCATCAAACCAGCATTTTCATAGCAATGACCAACATATGTTAGTCTTCATCAAACCAGCAGCTTATATCAAGTCAGCAATCTCTTTACAATCAAGAGTTTTTATGCCCAGCTCTCTTTCACAAGCAATCCTTCTTTAATAAACATATTTTCACTTCTGAACACTTGTTTAAAAATAGAATGGAATGACACGTTATCCTAAGGAGCGATGACAACATTCACAAAAATCCTTTTCCCACCAACCTTTCTCCTTATGATAAGGACACAATGTGCATAAAAACCCTAACACAACGATCTTCAATACTTTCACACCCTTCAAACGTTAAGTTTGAGTCTACTTAAATAGCAATCCAATTTCTGGTTTTTTCTTCGATAGACATAAGATTTGATCACATCCAAATTTATAGAAGATTTTGTTTTGATTTGTCTTTCATAAACCTCCAACAAAAAGATTTAATTTATTTTGATTCAAATTTAAATCTCCAATTAATTAAATTTTATCTTACTCAATCTACCAACAAATCTAATTAACACATTATAAAAAGATAGCAACAATTTCTTCACTAAAACATCTTTTACACTCAATATTGTTTTGCAAAACACAACCAATAAAATGTAACAACAAAAAGACAACATTAAATTGAGTTATTTTTACAAAATATATAAATTGTTTTTATAAACCATCTTAAAAATTTATGCAAATAAACTAACAAAAAGGTTTATTAACAATGTTTAAATAATTTTTATAAATTCTCTACATTCTCTACAATCTCACAAAACTTTAATCATTAAATAACAAATCTTATGTCCTTTTCAATCTAAATCCTCTTAAGATCTTTCTTGTTGAAAAAGCTAACTCTGTAACAAAGGTCCACCTTATTTATTGTGTAGCACTTAGAATGCAATGGGGTCTATGAGGAGAGGTTGCATGTTAATCGTGCCCACACAAGCATCACAATCTTTGCAGCCGAATCTTCCATTTGATAAGTACCATAGATGGTGGGGGAAAGCTATCAAATACGTGGGTCAATCTATATCTAGAAAATAAGGACAGCAAGCCATGGATAATGGATTCCTATTTCTGATTTCAGATTCAACATTTTGTTGCCAAATGAAAAGTACTGCTCATCCGCCAAAGGACCATAAATTTATCTAACTACATGCATATCAACTTGTACTATCAAAAGCCAAAACCAATTAGAACCCTCCATTTAGAGGTTGGCAATGGGACAAGAATATAATAGAGAACCCTACATGCATCCCTTTCAGCAAAAAAAATCCCAAATGCATTACTTCAAACCAGAACATGAGATGTGAATCACTTAAGTATCTGTCTTATTAACAAATTCCAAATTCTGTAGTAAGGTTTTCATCGTAATATTACATGAGTAGAATATTCCTATCCAAAACAACAACTTGCAGACAATAGCATTATACAGACCGCTAAATTTGAATCCTCTATTGCTAATGGAAAATGACAACTTGATGAGTAGGTAATTTCCAGGTCTTCCATTTACCTGCAAAATAAAGAGGAGCCAAACAACCTTAAAACTTGAAGTCTTTCTTCTTGGACTTGCCATCTTTTTCTTGCATCTTTCTCTTCCTCTTCTTCTCATTCTGCACCAGATGAAGAGATAGTTAAACATACAAATCTGAGGCCAATCTTTTTTGGGAAAAAAGGTGTAGATCTGTATGATTTGAGAATTGAATACAACACACCTCGGCAACCATGTCACTGAAATCCTCACGCTGACTCCGCAATTTCTCTTCCTCCCTTGCTTCTTCATACCTGGAATACTTCCAGAAGATGTAATAAACTAGATAGACGATGTTAAAATCACTAACGGGCAACAAAACATAAAATATAAGTCATACTTTGCAGGTAAAACGTTCTCCATGGCATCCAACTCCTCTGGCAGTAAAGTGACATCCACTTTATCTGTCTTTTGACCTTTAAGCAAATCAACCTGGAAACCATAAAACATGTTACCCCAAAAGAAAATATGGCACACACACCCCCAAAAAAAGAGTGAGAAACTATTCATTCTTACCCTTTTAGCCCCTGACTTGTCCTGAGTGCCAGTGCCAACCACATAACTGGAGAGAAATGGATATCCGAATTTATCGTGATACAAACAATTGTGATGGAAGAAAAGGAAAAAACATATATATATAAAATAAATAAAAACATAAAAAATAAAACAAATTTAGCATACGTGTGTGTAGTTCCAAGCAAAGTTCCAGGAGCAAGTTTTTCCTCCTTTTCTTCAAGGACCTTAACAGAAAATATGATAAATGACATCAACTAACTGGTCAACAGAAGCTAAAGCTGATGGAAGAGCAGAAGTTAAAAGACTCACTTGATAAAGAGGCCTTTCAGGTTCCTTTCTCTGCTGCTTACGAAGGTCAATAACATCCGGTGTCTCCACCCCAGTGGGTGTACTGAAGACAAAATCGCAAAAAATATGAGCTCCACAAACAAAATATACATAAACTAACCACCAATGTAAAGAGAACTATAAACATGGATCAGTTCAGCAAAAGGTTAAATTTAAGGACCAGCGAAACATTCATGTGGTTAGTCAGCTTAGTTAATTATTAACCGCTCCTTAACTAAATTAGCCACTAGATAAGTTTCTTAATTTCACCTCAATTGATCATTTACTATGCTAATCCAAAAAAGATAACAATACCTTGACAGGCTATCAACAGATTGAATACCGTCTTCAAGTTCTTCCTCCTCCATTTCTTCTTCCTCTTCCTCCTCCATTTCTTCTTCGTCTTCTTCTTCCTCCTCCTCTTCCAAGTCACCCCAGTGTTTGGTTTTATCAATAGGCTCTTCCTGCATTGAGAAAACATTCAAGTAAAATTTAACTAGGAATATGATAGAAACTGAAGCTTTCACATGGTATGTGTTAATAAACCCAGAATTCAGAAAACAGAGTCTGATAACAAGAGTTATTGACAGAAAGAAAAATACAACCAATAAGCAGATTCCTGCATTGAGAAAACATTTATGTAAAATGTAACTAGGAATATGATAGAAACTGAAGCTTTCACCGTGGATGTTGCATTGGATATTGTAGGGCTTTAAATCTAAGTGTCCTAATTTCTTTCAACATTTATAAACGTGTCTTAATAAAATATTTAAAGTGAATGTGATTTTGGAGGCATTTAAAATACTTCACATCAAAACAGCTTTAGAAGCAATTAGATCGGGTACTTTTAACACCCAAAACCAAGGAAATTAAACCCCGGAAAAATAGGTGGAATTACAAAAATCCACACCCTGGATCTCACTTCCCATCATTTGCTCATATGATACCTATCTTCATCTTCTCTCCTGTAGTGACCTTGACACCGCCTAGCAACACAGTGCCACTGAAGATCTGTCCTGATCTCTTGACCCTCATCACAGCAACAAAGTAACGCCGGCAGCAGTAGGGCGAGGTTCACTACAATAGTTGTCATCACTGATTTCCAGCAATACACCAATAGCCGTTGACAGCAATGATGGCCAGCATGGGGAGGGACATCAGTACAATCAAACAGGATTTAGGGACTTCTCAAATTTACCTCTTTTCACTGGAGAGCGTGTCATGTGAGGCAAAAGAATACTTCTTGATCCGAGTACCATCGATGTTGGAATATTAACAGCCATATAAAATGTCCTCAACAAAAGCAATTGCTATGATGATTATAACTCTTGCTTATTGATACTGCCAGTAATATCTCAAAATCAACAGCATCGAGAACAAGTACTCACACCGAATCACAATTGTGAGGGTTCCATCATTGAAATATAGGAACAACACATTTTTTTCTCATTTTCCTAATTTTATAATTGAGTGAGGGTATTTTATTTTATTTTATTATAGATGATAATAACACTTCATAATTTCATCATCTAAATAAAAATTTATCAATAAAAGAAATCTGATCACTTGGACGAAACAAAAAAGTTACAAATGAAAAAAATTTAAATACTTTACCAGAACAAGATATAAACTTGAAGGAAATTTAATTGAAGTAATTAAATTCCTTACAACTTTATATTCTTCTAAACTTTCAAATGCATTATCCAACATAACTTAGTTTCAAATATCAATCTTAAAGGGTACTTGATTTTGATATCGAAAATCATAAAAGGGAAACAATGGACAATTATGGGCAGTAGTTACCCGTCTAATTGCAAAGTGTGAGATGTTGGATCGAACTCTAGTATGGTCGAAGTCTGTTCGCGAGTAATGCATGTTGTAGTCGAAGTCTGTTTTAACATGCATTAGTAAATATTGCTAGGGTTGTTAGCATGTTGAATTGGGCCCTGCTTGTAAGCCCAATTGTTTAAGTTAGCTTGTACCCTAAGTTGGCTTGTAATGGGTAATTGTTAAAAAGCCCATTAGGTTAGTGTGCTATTTTATTATAAATAGGATGCTAGTTTCTCAATCTTGGCATAAGGAAAAATAGGAAGATAAAATCCTAATTTCAAGGGAGAGAGGTTATTTTGTTATTCTTGTATACTTGTAATCTTGTTCTAAGAGAAAGGAAAGAATAGCAGTTTAATAACCAATCCTTGTTGTTCCTTGGTGTTTTACCTTGTTTTCTTTGTTAACCCTAACCCTTGTGAGTTTCTTGATCATTAAGAAACCGTTTATACTTTGTTTAAAGGTATCCGATTCACAACACAAAGTGTTACTTTTAAGTAAACCAACCTCATAATTAGGCTGATCTTGTTGATGAACACCAAAAACATCTCCATAAAGTGGACGCCCAAACTGCTCAGGCACAAACAAGTGAAGAAGTCAGTGAAGTGAAAAAGGGGATGAAGTGGTGTTGAAATCGCCTTAATGGAAATGAAAATTCAGAACCCCATAATTATTATTTTAAACAGAGATGAGTGAATATGAAAACTGTACTTCATCAACAGGAGGCTTGCCCCAGCCACCAGGATGATAACCAAAACTAGCTCCTGGGGGAATCGGAGCATTCAAGCCAGGGATCTTTAGATGAGGGTATGATGGTGGAGGACCATATCTCTGGAAAAGAAAAAAAAGATAAAATTTCATGTCATAAAGAGCCGTGAACAGAATAATATCACAGACATTCCAAGATATTGATTTTACCTGCATGTTGATAAGCCATGGAGGAGGAGAACCCTCAGGCATGCCAAGAGATTCTTTCAACTCGTGTGATAACATGCCAGGTTTCATCTCCCTCAACTTTACCTGCACATCAAGCAGTATAACAATGTCATATAATCTTGACACTTACACATATCAATGAATAAATCACACCAGAAGGTGAAGAGTTAAAATAATGAAATCTTAAACCAACCCTCACAAATGTTTTTTTGCATTTGACAAAGGTGAAGAGTTTCACATGAACTATCACTAATCAAGAAGGAGATGAGATAAGAAAAGCTTAGGGCCTAATTAGTTTGAGAAATTGTGTTCATTTTCATATTATTTTGATTTTTAACTAAAAAATTGATACAATTTTCCATTTTATTTTATGTTTTCAAATATTTGTATGGAAAAAAGAGAAAATAAGTATTTTGTATTCGCTTTCCACTGTTTTCTATACAAATATTTGAAAACAGTTGGTATTTTTGTAATTAAAAGTGAATACAGGATGTGAGAACATAAGTATTTTTTAAACTAAATATAGCCCTTAAGATCTTAGGTTTTTGAAAACCCACTATGAAGCATGTATGCATGCAATATTTTAAATCTAGCATTAACATTTTAAAATGAACTATACCTCAAACTCTTTTCCTTCATGATACAGGTCCCCAAGAGATGACAGCTTTGGCTTTGTCTGATATTTAAAGAATGCATCATGAAGAACCTGGCAACCAAGAAACAAAGTCACTTGAGCTAGGAAAATGGTTATCAGAAGTCACAACATAAAAGCATGCAAGCTAGGAAAATGGTGCAAGCAAAATTAGAAAAAAGAAACCTGATAATCAATATCCATTTTCCCCATTTTCGGTTGCATGCGTTCCCGTTGCTTCTGTTTCAACTTTTTGCTGTCCTCTTTTTCAATATAAGCCTGCGTGAGAAAGTGTAAGATAACCTTGCAAGTAGCTACTACAGCAATGTAATAAAAATAAATAAAAAGACATGAACATATCTATCACAAAGAGTCAATTTCGTATTAAATTGAAAAAACAAGAAAATTAACAACTGATGTAGATCGACAGACGACAAGTATATAAAACACCAGTTGGAAGAGAAACCACATCAACATTCCCAATATAAACAAAAAGTGTGTTCCAGTACTGTAGCTTATTTGAAACGTCTAAAACTCAAATTATGTGCAATATTTCTTCAACGTAAACAAATTTCCCCCCATATAACAATTAAAAAACAGAAGACCACCATAATCTGTCTTATGACTGCGAGATTTTGAAGCAACGGTAGTAACATCTGGTTGTCAAACTAATAAACAATGCGTGACCATGAAAGCCAGTTCAGAAAAGTGTAGAAAGCTAGTTCAGAAGAGTGTAGAAGTGTGACATTCCAAATACACACATCGTATTAATTTTGTAAGTAAATTACACAAACCATGTTTTCTTGGAATATTACCCCTTTTTGTGGGTAATATAACCCAGACAAAAGAATCATAACATATGCAAACAGATGAGATGGCATTACCTGTCTGATTTTCTCGATTCCTGTGGCAGCAATAAAATCAGGAAGCTGAAAGGGCTGTTTCTCAATACCTCTTTTACCCTGCAAAATGAATAAAAATATTATGAGATGCAAATAATCCATGTGTACATGACTATGAAATTATGTGGCCAGGCATTATTAAATATAAAACAATGAAGACAAGAGGAATTCAGCCCGAGCATTAAGAACGGTGAAAGGTATCTGAAAATTCAAAGCATAACTATTAGCACCTTTCTTATAAATAAATGTTCAATGGAATTACACAAAAAAATAAAGGATAAATGATTATAAGCCCATGTTATACAACACCCATATTCCCATGCAATCTAACAAAGAAATAAAAGATAAATGATTCAGGCAACTCAGTGCCAAACACCTACAATTCCAGGTTTGGTGATTGCCACAACTGCTCCCCTGCAAGTACCACATACATACATATGAGAGAAACTGTATCAATGTCATCTTCCTAACTTTATCCATACACCCGACATATAAGTAGACCATAACCCTCATAAATGTTTGCATCTCTAAACCATAACTATCAATTAAGAATGCTGCTTAACCTGCAGAAATTTTCTCTTTTGACACCAGTGCCTAGGTACAGGTACAGTATTTCTATGAGACTTCAAGAACACCAACAACTTTGGATCTGCTGAAGTAGCATCCCACACCTTAAAATGAAAAAGAGAAGAAAAAAATGGTTGCATTAAATTTGCATGATGCCATGTGAAACCAGACTAAAATTAAGAATGAGAACTCAAAGTTTATAATTGGGGATACCACCACATAACGTATACCAACCTCAACAACATCTGGCCTTGAGCTTATCTGCTTTAGCTCGGCAATCTTCATCCTGCGTTGGAGCTGAACAGAAGTTAAAACTTTGAGCATAATTAGGGAAGCAAACACAATAGCTAAATTGAATAAACAAAAATAAATAAATGTTATAAAATGTCAAACCTTTTTCTTCTTGTTTGAGACACCTTTCTCTTTGTTCTCGTTATCATTTTCCTCCTCTTCAGAATCAGAGTTAGCCTTTTTATTAGTAATTGAATTTTCTGCCGACTCGTCCTTCTTATCATTATCCTAGATTCATCCGTGTAAACAATTTATCAAACAATAAATGAAGACACATTTAAAAATAAACAATTCACACAAACTTCTTACCTCTGTACCAGTAACCTCGTTTGAACTAAATTTCTTAAAGATTCTTTTATATTCCTCATCCACGCCTTCATCTATCTTTTCCAGGATATACTCAGCTTCAACTTGTTGGACAACCTAAAATTTAAGACAGAAGACAACATTAAATAGGCATCACTGCCAATTTGAGTTTTAATGGTGTTGCCTTTGAGAACATAGGCTGGAATATTGCCACTCTTTTATAAAAGGAAATACGGATATATATCGAGAATCGACAAAACCATTGACTGAAATTTGGATGGAATGGTTACAAAAATGTATAAATTTAGCCGCTGAAATCAAAGAGAATGGACAATATTAATAGGTGAAGATGTCTTAAACTAATAGCTAATAATCATAGAAATCTTTTCATCACTTTGTAATGCCAATTCCGAACCTTTCTCTCATCACAAAACTAAATGGTAAATAGTTTCATCCCAAATGTAGTTAAAGTGGCTCAGCTAAGGAGTTGGAAAAGGTGGCTCAAAATTAAAACCCCCACTATTAACATAATAAGTACTAAACATTTGCTAATTAAAAAAACAAAGAAATAAGATACTAGTAGTGCAACAAAATTGTCAAATCGATTCTAGGGGCACTAATCTAAGTAGCACCAATACCTCTGAAAAAATGTGTCTATGTTTGTGACAGACACTTGTGGTTATATTTAATTTATTCATTTTTTTCAAAGTGTCGCATGTGTTTCAGGTGTATCATTAGTAACAGATCACTCCCATTTCTTTCCTTTTTCAATTAACTTTCATCAAACAAAAATTTGGTGTTCCCTACTTCACATTAACATGTCCTCAACCAATACTAAAACTATGATATGCTAAAGTACGGGCTCAATTCAAGTTCAAACACCAACAATTTTACTGTAACAAATATAATTAATAGTGTATATAGGGCAATTTTCGATTATAAACCTAACCTAACCATAATGCTTGCAGAGAACAAGAAGAAAGATGATAACCTGATGTGCTTCAGTGGTTTCATTCGTGTCGCCAACGGCTTCGGAGGCGTTTGCATCTGATTTCTTGGAACTCTTATTGATCTTCTTTTGCTTCCGGCGACGACGACGGCGCTCGCTCTCCCGGGATTTCTTGGTGGCACCGGAGCTGGCGCCGAGATTAGAAACGGCATTTTCCGCGGCCATGTCTACCGTTTTTTGTGGCAGCAGAGTCACGCGAACAGGGCTAACCGAGCGAGGTTCAATGCGACGATGAATTCAGGCGTGAGTAACTGAGTTAATGGGCCATTTGGTATTTTAGAAAATAGAGAATTTCATATAGGATTTTATATACTTCTAACGCACTACTAGAAATTCTATAAATATTTTTAAATTTCGAATATATATTTTTAAAAGCGTTTAAACTTTAGTGAATGTTGAAATATTTTAGAAATATATCTCTTTTCGAAATATTTTGAAACATAAGTTGTGACAGACTCTTCTCCTTCCTCTATCACATTTTTCTTTAAACTCAAATTTAACTCTTCTTTTTCTCAATGCACTTCAACTTTATCAAATCAATTTTCATCAAGCAATGCTCAAAGGAACATCAAGCATTATCTATAACATCATTCAATATCATAAAAACTATAAATTTCAAATAAGTTTTTCGAAATTTCGATAAATATTCGAGTTTTAGTATTAACGAGTAGGAATCAATGATTAGGGTTAGAAATGTGTAGAATCGCATGTTTTCTTCAACGTGAATGAGCTACGTTCGCCAGTGATGCGACCTCTGGGTTGCATAATATTTCAGAGATGCATTTTCGGAGTTGCTCAACGTTTCATATACTTTGGAAATTTTTGAAGATGTATCTCTGAAATTGTTCAACATTATAGTTTTAAGGTATTTTCGGAGATGCATCTCCGAAATTGTTCAACGTATAGTTTTATGGTGTTTCCGGAGATGCATCTCTGAAATTGTTCAATGTTATAGTTTTTAAAAAAAAATCTTATATACGTGTTGTTTGTGTACACTAATGATAATGGCTGACAGAGTTGACAGACTAAGACATGGCAAGGTTGCTCAGCACGCATCTGTTCGACGGGAGCGGAGTCAGCAGGTTGTAAAGGCTCTAGGTACCTCTGGTCAGGCAGAGGCGTCGACTTTTGGGGCGCCATCTACTCCTGAGGCTCGTGTTTCACCTCAGGCCACTCCATCTTCTTCTTTTTCCCGTAGGAGACATAATTCATCATTTGACGCGTCACTTCCCCTATCCTCCCGCAGGCGTCAGGATTCACTAGTGCCACCTCCTACAGATGATGCTGTTGTTCCAGACCCACATCCCACTTCTAATTCAGTTCCACCTCCAGAAGGTGAGGCTATTGCGGATGTTGAGTCAGAGGGTTTTGAAGGAGGTCCATATGATTTGTGTTTACTTCCTCTGTATCCAGACCACACTGTCATACATATCTGGGACAGAGAGATAGCATTAGTTGGGTTTTTTTATGCGTTAATTTTAATGGCTGACATTGATTATTTTTTACTAAGAACACCATCCAATCCAATTTGTCTTTTTTTATATATTTCAATAACTCTTTTTAATTGGACAATTTGAAAAGAATGTGACTTACACTCTTTACATGTAAAATCATGTTTTTTTTCTCAACAAAATTTTGTTTTTCAACTTCAAATATTTTTTCCGCGGTGTCAACCTTTTCTTCAAGAGATGAAATTCGTTTCTTTTATGTTGACACTGTTTCGTACAAAATTTTACATTCTTTGAGTAATTCATCCATGTATCCTTGAGAACCATTATCATAAGAGGAAATTGCATCTTCATCGCCAAAATATTGTGATGTCATCAATGCAAGATTTGCATATTCTTCACTTTTTGAGTCGGATGATGAACTCACTTCATTGTCATCCCATGCAATGTAGGCCCTTTTGGATTTTGACTATTTTCTTCCTTTGAAACCACTTTTCTTGGTGAATTTTGGAAAATCCGTTTATGTGTCCTTATTTTCCACATTCATAGCAAATAACATTTTGTGTTAACGTAAATGCCTCCTTTTTCCTAAAAAAATTATTTCTTTTTGTAAGTTTTATGGTTTTTAGTTTGTCAGCAATTTTTTAAAACAAGTTCACAGCAAGATGTTGAGACAAATGTCTTGACAGGTCAGTCAGATATCATGATCAGTGTGATGTTGGGACATGTGGCCAGGACATTTTATACCAGAAGTTTAGGGATGAGATGATTTGGTGTTTAAAGTGTGAGATTTGATAGTATTTTAATTCACACGGTGTCGCAATCCAATGAGGGATATTTTAGGAACTTCTGTCTTGATAGATTTGCTTGTATTCCTTAAAAAGGGTCTTGGAGCCTTTTTAGGAAATTTTATATTCAGTTCCTATTTATGTGCAGAAGATCTTGCAGAATATTTGAAGCTGCTGATTTGTGATTTGCGTTTTATTTAAATTGAAGAGGCCAAGTCCATGCTGATTTGAATGTTATTTAAAGAGGAGTTTTAAACCTAATGAAATGGTGAAGTTGTGTATTGAAATAAATAGTATTAGGGTTTAGAGAGTTTTGTTCTTTTTGTTATTTATGATCCTCTCTTAAGTTTTTTGACATCTGAGTTGAATTCTGTTGTTTGTGCATTTGTGAGTCATTCATGCACTCCTTATGTACTTAAATTGGACTGAATTTTGAGTTGTAATCACTCCTAAGCTTTTAAGCAAAGAGTAGATTTTTGTGTCTTTGGAAGTGTGAATTCCAGTATTATTTATTGTTGAGTTTGTCACTGTTGTGTGACTGGTGAGAAGTGAGAGGAGTCTCATATCTAGGAGTTCCTAGGTAGAAGTTAGCACGGGTAGTGATTAGGTGAGAAGCTTGTAAACTTGTGGGTGTTTGTTGTGGATTTGAACCAATACTATTATAGTGGACTTCTTTCTTGACTTGGATGCTACCAGATGTAGGTGATGTTGCACTGAACTGGGTTAACAATTGACTATGTTGTTATTTACATTCAAGCTTTTATTTTTTTGCATAAGTATTGGTTGTTGTCTTGATTCCAGTGCCTTGACGTCTGTCTTGATATCTGTAATCTATGTGCCAAAATTTTAGTTAGAATCAGAGCAAGTCATCCTGTTCTGTTTTGGGGTGAGCTCTAGGGAGATATCCTTTATGGCATAATGGACAAGGAAGTATGAGGGAATATGAGCAAACCTCACATCTTGGATGGAACCAACTATGACTATTGGAAGGCACACATGGTGGCCTTATTAAAATCCTTGGATAGAAAAGCTTAGAAAGCTATCATTAAGGGTTAGAAACATCTTGTGGTTGAAGATGAAGATATGAAGGAAAATCTGAAACCTGAAGAGGATTGGACCAAGGAAGAAGGTGAGACTGCTCTTGGAAACTCCAAAGCTTTGAATGCCATGTTCAATGGAGTTGACAAAAACATGTTTAGGTTAATAAACACGTGCATTATAGCTAAGGATGTTTGGGAAATTCTCAATACAACTCATGAAGGCACGTCTAGGGTGAAAATGTCTAGACTTCAGTTGTTCACTGCCAAATATGAAAATCTAAAGATGATGGAGGATGAGAGTATACATACCTTTCAAATGAATATTCTTGAAATAGTTAATGCCTTTAGTGCCCTAGGAGATAAAATATTATAAGAAAGACTAGTCAGAAAGATTCTCAGATCCCTTCCCATTAGATTTGACATGAAGGTTACAATCATTGAAGAAGCCCAAGACATAAGCAAAATGAGAGTGGATGAACTTATTAGCCCACTTAAAACCTGTAAGTTGGCTATGAGTGACAAATTTGAAAAGAAGAACAAGAACATAACTCTTACCTCCAACATAAATGATGAAGAAGATCAATTGGTCTTGAACACTCTAATGCTATTGCACTTTTTGGGAGAAAATTCAATAAGACGCTGAAGAATCTGGATAGGTAATTCAGACCAAATGTTAAGGACATCTCAAAAACAGTGATCTTTAGAGAAAAGGAAGAATAGAGGAGAAGCCAAATCAAGGTAGAGTCATCCAATGTCATGAGTGTGAGGGTTTTGGTCACATTAGGCCAGAATGCCCAACATATCTCAAAAAGCAGAATAAGGGACCTACTACTGCCTGGACTGATGAGTCTGAAGTGGAAATTGATGATGAAATTTCAAAACATGTTACAACACTCACTGGTAGATGTAATTGTGATAAGGATCCCTATAATGAAGAGGTCACTTATGAAGAGTTAGTTGCTTCCTACAAGGAACTGTGTGTCAGAAGTGAAGAAATGTGTAATCTTGGAGAAAAGCAGAAGAATCTTATAGCTCATCTTCAAGATGAAATAGAGAAACTTCTAAATATCATCTCTAACCTTCAAGATGAAGTATCCCTATTGACCTCTAAAGTTAAAAATCTGACAAAATTCATAATGCTGAATAATGGATCCAATGGGTTGGATGAAACGCTTCAAGTTGGGAAAGAAGGTAAAGTATTCACGAATATAAGGTTTAATTATCAGTTATTAAAAATTAAAAGAAAACCCCATGTTGCTCAGTTTGTAAAGGGTAAGTTCATGACGTCTGACCAAATGTTGCAACATTCATCTAGGCCTCAGAATACCCAAACAAGCGGGATTTTCCAGCTTTGGAAATGCCATTACTGTGGTAAAAATGGTCACATAAAACCATTTTGTTACAAATTGTATGGTTATCCAAAACACTCTCCTCAACTTATGACTAATCATGTAAAGATTAAAACCAGAAAGGTATGTGATGCTGAGGAAGTGGTCACTAGTCTCATAGCCCATGCATTTCCCAGACTCTTATCTAGAGAAGACTGGTACTTTGACATTGGATATTCTAGACATATGACAGGTTATGAGAACTGTCTAGTCAATATCAAGTCTTGTCCTACCAGGTTTGTCACTTTTGGTAATGGTGCTAGAAGAGAAATCAAGGGAATGATAATGGTTGATGGTACTGGACTTCCTAGTGTAGATGATGCATTTCTTGTATAAGGACTGACTGTCAATTTGATCAGCACCAGTCAGTTATGTGGTCAAGGGTTAAAGGTAAAATTCACTAGGTCCGAATGCGTGGTTTCTAATGATAAGAATGAGATTCAGATGAAGGGAGTTAGAACCAAAGGTAATTGTTATTTGTAGGTTCCTCAAGAAACCATG